GTCAATATCTCACAGACCACACTATTTTTTATCCACATTGCAATGTAATTAAAATCAGTAACAAAAAGGTAACTTGAAAAGTTATATTTGGAAAGCTAAATTTTGGAAAGTTAAAAACATACTTTTAAATAATTTATGGGTCAAAGAAAAAATCTTAATGCACTTAGAAAATATTTAGAAGTGATCAACTTTTAATCCACACTCAAGAACATTTTTTTTTCATTGCTTTAAGGAAGAGAGGAAAGGGGAGAGAGAAACATTGATAAAAGAGAGAAGCATTGATTGGTTGCCTCCCATATGCTCTGGGTTGGGCATCAGTGCCCAGTCCAGCACCCAGACCCAGATTACATGCATTCCAGTATGCACCACCTGCTACAGGACCAGGATCAAACCCACAACCTAGGAATGTGCCCCAATTGGGAACTGAACACACAACTTTTTGGTTATGGGGCAGTGCTCCAGCCATCTCAACCATAGCGATCAGGGCAGAAGAGATCAACTTTTAAAATACTATAATACCAGACAAACCCAAACTGAGGGACATTCTACACAATACCTGACCAATAGTACCCTTCAAAATACTATTATGTCAAAACTTAAAAATGAAGATAAATCAGGACTTAGAGGTAAAATAATTGGCTTTAAACTCATGTATTAGAAAAGAAGAAAGATTAATGAATTAAGAATTCACTTCAAGTAATTAAAAAGAAATAGAGTAATTGCAAAAGAATAGAAGGAAGAGATAATAAAAATTTAGTGAAGTAGAAAATAAAGAATCAACAAAACCAAAAGTTGGTTCTTTGAAAACACTAATAAAGTGGACCTGGACAAACCTGTATAGAACTGATCAAAAAAAAGATAGAAAGAAAGGTACAAAAATATATTTGGAATAAAAAGAAGACACACTGTGAACATTTTTATAAGCTAGTATATTTAAGGAAAATTTTCCTAAGAGGACCAAGAATATTCATGACAATTTTGAAGAAGAAAAGGATCAAGGGAGTAGTGAGGAGAGATGTTCACTTTATTGGATTTTAAGATTACTGTAAAATTATAGTGATTAAAACAACATCATATAGGCACAAGGCTAGGAAAATCAGTGAAATAAACTGCAGGTCTTAAAAAGAGCCGCAAATATATACGAAGACTATATATGAGTAAGTAACATAAATTGGGGGGAGGGGGATGGACTGTTCATTAAATGGTGCTGGGGAAATTGACTAACCTTATGAGTAAAAAATGAAAGTAGATTTCTATTTTACCACATACCAAAAGTAAATCCTAAATAAGTGAACAAACGTGAAAAGCAAAATTAGAAAACTTTTAAAAGAAACTATAGGAAAATATTTTTATTCAGGGTAGGAAAGAATTTATAAAGAAAGGAAAAACACAAATCATAAAGGAAAATATTAAATATATCAACTCAATATATTAACCAACAAAAGAGTAGCATTCTGCAAATCAGAGAGACAATAGAAAAATAGACATAAGATAAAGATAGTTTACAGATGAGAAGTGGAGAATGATTCTAGAGGGATAAAAATGTTTTATCTAACAAAAACACAAAAACTAAAACCACATTGAGATATCATGTCACATTCATCTGTCTGACATTACCAAGAGATGTAAGGAGGAACACTGAGTTGAGTGTATAAATTTTTCCAGGCACTTTGGTGAATAATTTGGCAAATGGAAAGTTAACTCATAGCCATGAGTGTGAAAATATATATATATATATATATATATATATATATTCATATTCATATATGTAGCATGCACCACCCGCTACATGTAAGGAATATACATATATTCCTGGTGGTGTATGTAAGGAATATATATATATATATATTCCTAAAAGAAGCCCTTACCCATGTACGTAAGAAAACACTTGTTTGTAATCACAAAGGAAAGGATGATAACAATCTGAATGTCCCTTAGAAGGCTAGATTTATAAATGCTTGCATATTTACACAGTAAGTATTTTAAATACTTTAAAGGAATGAACTAGATTTATCTATATACTGAATATTCCTTCATCCTGTTTTAATGATTGTGGTAAATGTTAATATTGCTCGCAAAACATTCCCTTTCTTCCCCTGGGCACACAGCAGGGTTACCCTTTCGCACTTCCTTTGAACTTAGATAAGGGCCAGTGACTTACCTTAGTCAATCAAATGTAAGCCAAGTGTGTGTTACCTTGGGGGAACAGTTTTAAAAGCCAGTCACTAGCTCACTGTCTCCTCACTGCTACTGTGGTGGAGGAACCACATATTAATACAAAGCTTCTATCAGCTGAGTGATACAATGAACACAGCCACTATGCTGATTGTCATTAAATACCCAGGTAAAGCAGAGAATAATGTGTGCTTCATTAAGTGCTGGGAGGGTGGGAGCTGTTACTGCAGTCCACATTACCTACAGTATTATTTTATGTTTCAGCTCAATTTACTGTCCATCTTGTGTCCTTTCCTTAAGTTCTCTCTTCCAAATCACAGAATACTTCCTCCTTTCCATGAGACAGAGGTACCAGGACTTAGCCTCTAAATATAGTCCTTCATCTGTCTCTTTTCAAAGTCATAGGGACCTTCTCTCTAAGCCCCTTCTCCATCAGAAAACTGTCCTAACAGGTTATTTCACCTTTGTTTTGGCTTTTTGTTTTGGACTAAGCTTCATAGTGAAGAGGTTCATCATCAGAAAATTCGTCCTCTCTCCCTTCCTCCTTCCCTTCTTCCCTTTATCTGTGGATGGCTGTCCTCATCTGCTGAGAACTGAGCCATTGGAGAAGGTCTGTGAGGTGAGGTCTCAAGTACAGGCATGCCCAACTTTGGGAAATAAACGCATTGCGTAAAAGATACATGTAAGGTTATTTACCCAGCATCATTATACAGTTAGAAATGTTTTGGCACAGTGGTAGTACTGCTCACCCTCTCTCTTTTCAAAGAGTATAGTATTATACTGAAAAGTCCAGTATACAAAAGTCTGTCCAGAAAGGATCCAGCATGTAAGCCATTTATTGAAGAAGCTACAAAATACAAGAAACATTGTACATAGGACAATGGTGCCTCAGTCCCCTTCAAAGAAAGCACCTTCGGACCTCATACAATTTTTCCAGTCACCATCAGCTTCCCCGTTTTATTTTCCTGAATCTCATTGATGGTCTGAAATCTCTTCCCTTTCAAAGGTGAATTTAGTTTTGGGAAAAGCCAAAAGTCACATGGCGCTAAATCTAGACTTAGGGGGACTGAGTCACCTGGGTAATTTGATGTTTCACTAAAAAACTCTGCACGAGGCATGATGCATGAGTAGGCGCATTGTCGTGATGAAGCGCTCAATCACCAGTTGCCCAAAGCTGCAAACTTCTGAATCATCTGAATAATTTCTGTGGAAGAATGTTCAGGTTTAACCCAAAAGTTGATGCAAATTCATTGCTCTATTTAGTCATTTTGAATGTGACAGCCACACAGTACACATGTTCACTCAACAGCATCTACCACCCCCACTGGCTAGTACAATGGAGTCATCATTGTTCACACATGTGCATTCCAGTCCACTCTCCTTGGCTGCTATGTTACATTGATGTCACGCAAACCACTCTTATTATATTAATAATGGCTGGACTTTTTCTGGACAGACCTAATGAGAAATTGTCTTTTTTTCCCCCAATCTGTTTTAAAATTAGTGTAAAATAAGCTAAAAATCTTGAATGTGCATAGCTAGAATTAATTGTAGATTTGGGTTTAAGAACCTAAATGTCTGAAGGAAAAACACAGTGCTAGTAAATGCACAGAAAGTATCCCAGGGATGTAAAAGGTCCTCATTTTTTTATCATTCTCTTCCTAGTGTTTAGAAAATCTACACTATTTTTGAATAGCTATCATTTTGTGGAAGTCCTTGATTTTTATGAGGAACAGGTTGATACGGCTTTCACATACAGAGAGAAACCCAGAATCAAAACAGCTAGGGTTGTATGGGGGCAGGGGATGGATGGAATTAGAAGGAGACATATGTGGGATAAATGGTAATGGAATAAACGCTATAAAATAATGAATGAATGAATGAATAAAAAGAGCTGGCATTTCAAAATACAGCAGTTTGCAAACAAAGAGTATGTGTATTAAAATACATGGGATAGTAAAGAAAAAAGGGAACTAAATCATGGCAGAGGAGAACTGTATATTCTGAAAAGGGATTGGTGCCATGACCTGGATCCCTTTCCTGCTTAATGTATTCTAAAATAGTAAATATAGATACGTGTGTGTGTGTGTGTGTGTGTGTGTGTGTGTGTGTGTGTGTGATCTTTCTTTAAACAAATGTATTAAATGTAGCAAATAAGTACACTTTAGAGAATACTAATGAAACAAGTGCCATGTACCTACCACCTAGCTTAAGAACAGAGCAGAACCAGTACTTTTCAAGCCCCTCCAAGATTTCATCTCCCCCTTTCCAGACAAATTATCCTCAAGTTTGTATAATAATTCCCTGGATTTCATTTTTAGTTTTACACTTAATGTATCTGCCTCTAAGCAAAGTATATTTTTACTTTTGCCTTTTTAAAAACTTTGTACAAATGAACTCATACTCTGTGTTTTCCTGTGCCTTGCCTTTTTTTTTTTTGTTAAACATTGTGCTTTTTGATTCATCTATTTGCATATAGCTGTGGTTCGTGAATATCAATTACTGTGTAGTTTTCCACTATAGTAATATTTTGCAATGTTTTTGTTCATTTTATATTTTGGGGGGCATTATATTTCTTTATAATAAAATTCTTTAGGGTTAATTGCTACATATAGTTGGTTTATTCCAACCTTAGGTTCAACTTTTTTTTTTTTTTAAGCCATTTGGCATGGAAAATGTGTTCATATTTTGAGATAATCAAAATGTTCTAGTTTTCCTTTTATCATCGATTTAAGATAGATATAAATGAATTTTTTTCATTACACACTATTGGGAAACACTTGGCTTCTCTTATCTTGATGCTAAATCTTATGTTGGATTCACAGTTCCTATGGAGAATGTTGCAACAATTGCTGATTGTGCCAGTGTGATTGAAGGAGTCAGTCGAAGCCGAAATGCCTTGTTAAACGGGGACACCAAGAATTATGATTGGGATTCTGGCTATACATGTCACCAGCTAGGAAGTGGTGCAATTGTGGTTCAACTGGCACAGCCATACATGATTGGGTCAATACGGTAAGAAGATTCCTTTTCATTCATTACTTTTAAAATGGAAGATGTGTACAAATGATGTTTTGGTGCAATAATGGTCCCAATAACTTCAGAGAAGATGCTCTTCTGTTCTTTGCTCTAAATTATCAAATAAAGGGTGGGAAAAGGGGAACAAAGAGATACAAAGCACTTGTTTGTGTTCTCTGGTGGGGAGATGCATCAAAATTACACTTGTGGAGGAACTAGAATAGAGGCCTGTCCTTAGGTTTATATTGGTTAGGGATTTATGGTATCATGTCAAGACAGGTTATATAGAATCAAAATCATTTGAAACTTTAATAAGTGACTAACTAGGAACCAAGCAGAACTGTATAGGATACCTATTTCTAAAAAGTCTTACTCCACCCAGGACCTACACGTGGGCCTGGGTGCTGAGTGTGGTGCAGCCGGCAGAGATAGTAGATCCCCAGCCAAAGGAGACACAGAGCTGCCTAGAGACTCTTGACGGGAGACTGGAGACAGAGGTGTTGGGGAAAAAACTGGGGGAGTGGCCAGGGGGTTCCCAGTACTGACCCCTTCCCCATTCTGCAGTCTCCATTTTGCGTAGGCAGGCCACACCCCAAAGAGGCAGCAGCAGGAAAGGAAATAATAGCCCTGCCCTCAGGACAGTCTGTCCCAGACAGGAGTTGTGTTTGGGCCTTGGTGCTGAGTGCAGAGCTGCCTGCAGAGATAGTAGTCCCCAGGCTAAAGGGGACACAGAGCTACCTAGAGACTCTTGAGGAGAGACTAGAGTTGGAGGCATTGGGGAGAGAACTAAGGGAGTAGCCAGCGGGGGACAGGGATCCTGGTGCTATCTCCTGCCCCATTTCACAGTCTCCATCTTGCTCAGGCAGACCACTCCCTTGAGTGGTAACAGCCTCTAAGGACATGATAGTTCTACCCTCAGGAGCACTGCCTCGCCCCCTGTAGTGCCTAAGCCTGATAGCTGAGGGCAGAGTGACTAAATAAACAACTGGAGGAGACAGACACAGACTGTAGATTTCTGGAAATCTCAAACAGACGGCCTAAGGTCAGACAGGGTCAACAACTGACATCATCAGAGGTAGACCCAGAAAGAAAATAAAAGAAATTAATTAATCAACTAATTAATTAATAAAAGACCTGCCTACTACCATAGAAGTTTAATCCACAAAGTCAGGAAATCAAGACTGATCAATTGAAGCAGAAGAAAAAAGAAGAAGAAGAAGGAGAAGGAGAAGGAGGAGAAGGAGAAGGAGGAGAAGAAGGAGAAGGAGAAGAAGAAGGAGAAGAAAGAGAAGGAGAAGAAGGAGAAGAAGAAGAAGAAAAGAAGAAGAAGGAGGAGGAGGAGGAGGAGGGGAGGGGGAGGGGGAGGAGGAGGAGAAGGAGGAGGAGAAGAAGAAGAAGAAGAAGAAGAAGAAGAAGAAGAAGAAGAAGAAGAAGAAGACGACGACGACTCTCACAAATAATGGGAAGGAAAAGAAACACCCCTCAATGAGGAAAAAGAAGGAATCCCCACAGAGAGAACTAAATGAAATAGAGGCAAGTAAAGTAACAGATATTGAGTTCAAAACAATGGCTCTAAGGAAGCTCAATGAGCTCAGTGAGCTCAAAGAGAACTATGAGAAACTACAGGGAAACTATCAGGAACTTATTGCAAACTATATCAGCCTGGAAAAGAATATAGAAACTATCAAGAAGACACAAGAGAAATGAAGAATACCATTTCTGAACTGAAGAACACAATACAAGGAATCAAAAGCAGGCTAGATGAAGCAGAGGATCAAATCAGCAAGCTGGGGGGCAAAGTAGAAAAAAGCTCCCAGAAAGAGCATGAAATGGAAAAAAGACTCAAAAAGAATGAAGAGGCATTGAGGGAAATGCAGGACAACCTGAAACATAATAATACCCACATAATAGGGATACCAGAAGGAGAAGAAGAGGAGCAAGGGATAGAGAACCTGTTTGAAAAAGTAATGATGGAAAATTTCCACAACTTAAGGAGAGAACAGGTCTCACAAATCCAGGAAGCACAGAAAAACCATTCAAGAGGAATCCAGTCAGGCCCACTTCAAGACACATCATCATTAAAATGACAAATATCAAAGACAAAGAAAGACTCCTAAAGGCAGCAAGGGAGAAAGAGCTAGTGACATATAAGGGAGCTCCGGTACGGCTAGCAGCTGACTTCTCAATAGAAACACTGCAAGCCAGAAGGGAATGAAAAGAAATATTCCAACTAATGAAAAGCAGAGGCCTACAATCAAGACTGCTCCACCCAACAAGGCTCTCAATTAAAATAGAAGGTGAAATAAGGAGTTTCCCAGAGCAAATAAGGCTAAAAGAATACATCTCCACCAAACCAGCACTACAAGATATGCTAAAGGGACTGCTTTAAGAAGATGAAGAAAAAGAGTGAGAAAAAGAAAAACACAGGCACAAAGGGAAAAAATAAATGTTTCTATCAGTAATAACTCTCAATGTAAATGGACTAAATGCCCCAATCAAAAGACACAGTATAGCTGAATGGATAAGAAAACATGACCCACACATATGCTGCCTACAAGAGACCCACATCAAAACAAAGGACCTACACAGACTGAAAGTAAAAGGATGGAAAAAAATATTCCAAGCAAATGGGCAAGAAAAAAAAGCAGGGGTAGCAATACTTACATCAGACAAAATAGATTTCAAAACAAAGGCCATAAAAAGAGACCCAGAGGGACACTTTATAATGCTCAAAGAAAGAATCCATCAAGGAGACATAAATAGTGTAAACTTATATGCACCTAACATAGGAGCACCCAAATATATGAGGAAAATCTTGGAGGACTTCAAAAAAAATACAGACAGCAACACACTGATAGTAGGGGATTTTAACACCCCACTGTCAAAAATGGACAGATCTTCCAAACAAAACATCACCAAAGATATTGTGGAGCTGAATGACGCATTGAAGCAAATGGACTTAACTGACATATATAGAACCTTTCATCCCAAAGAAGCAAAATACACATTCTTTTCAAATGCACATGGAACTTTTTCAAAGATAGACCACATGATAGGACACAAAGCAAGCATCAGCAAATTCAGGAAAATTGAAATAATAACAGGCATTTTCTCAGACTGCAAGGGCTTGAATCTAGAAATCAACCTCAAGGAGAAACCTCAAAAACTTGCAAACTCATGGAGACTGAACAGTAGACTATTAAACAATGAATGGGTCAATAATCAGATAAGAGAAGAAGTCAAAAAGTTTCTGGAAACAAATGAAAATGAGCATACAACAGTCCAAAACCTATGGGACACAGCAAAGGCAGTCCTGAGAGGGAAGTTCATAACAATACTGGCCTACCTAAAAAAGATAGAAACATTTCAAATAAATGACCTAACCCTACAACTTCAAGAACTGGAGAAACACCAAATGAATCCCAGAGCAAGTAGAAGGAAGGAAATAATCAAGATCAGAGCAGAATTGAATGACATAGAGACAAAAAGAACAACTCAAAGGATCAACCAATCCAGGAGCTGGTTCTCTGAAAAGATAAAATCGACAAGCCTCTAGGCAGACTCATCAAGAAAAAAAGGAGAGGACCCAAATAAATAATATCAGAAATGAAAGAGGAGAAATAACAACCGATACCACAGAAATACAAAGGATTGTAAGAAACAACTATGAACAATTACATGCCAAGAAATTTGAAAATCTCAATAAAATGGAATTTTCTAGAAAAGTATAATCTTCCAACACTGAATGAAGAAGAAGCAGAAAGCCTGAACAGACCGATAACAGCTGGGGAAATTGAAGCAGTCATCAAGAAACTCCCGGCACACAAAAGCCCAGGGCCAGACAGTTTCATAGGAGAATTTTACAAAACATTTAAGGAAGAGCTAACCCTTATCCTTCTCAGACTATTCCAAAAAATCCAAGAGGAGGGAAGACTCCCAGACTCTTTTTATGAGGCCAGCATCACCCTGATCCCAAAACCAGATAAAGACCCTACAAAGAAAGAAAACTACAGGCCAATTTCGCTGATGAACATAGATGCTAAAATCCTCAACAAAATATTGGCAAACTGCATCCAGCAATACATTAAAAAATCATCCACCATGATCAAGTGGGATTCATCCCAGGGATGCAAGGATGGTTCAATATACACAAGTCAGTAAACGTAATACATCCCATAAACAAAAGGAAAGACAGAAACCACATGATCTCAATAGATGCAGTAAAAGCATTCAATAAGGTACAGCACTCATTTATGATAAAAACACTCGGCAAAATGGGAATAAAGGGGGCATACCTCAGCATAAAAAGGGCCATATATGAAAAACCTACAGCCAACATCATACTCAATGGGCAAAAAGTAAAAGCTTTCCCACTAAGATTGGGAACAAGATAAAGATGACTGCTTTCACCATTTCTAGTAGTATTGGAAGTCCTAGCCACAGCAGTCAGACAAGAAAAAGAAATAAAAGACATCCAAATTGGAAAGGAGGAAGTAAAACTATCATTGTTTGCAGATGACATGATAGTGTACATAGAAAACCCTGTATACTCCACCAAAAAACTACTCAACCTAATAAGTGAATTTGGCAAAACAGCGGGGTACAAAGTCAATATTCAGAAATCAAAGGCATTTTTGTACACCAGCAATGAAATAAAAGATGAAATCAGGAAAAAAAAATACCACTAACTATAGCAACAAGAAGAATAAAGTACCTAGGAATAAATTTAACCAAGGAGGTAAAAGACTTGTACACAGAAAACTATTCAACATTGAAGAAAGAAATTAAGGAAGACACAAATAAACAAAAGCATATACCGTGTTCATGGATGGAAGAATAACATCATCAAAATGTCCATACCATCCAAAGCAATTTATAGATTCAACGCAATCCCTATTAAAATACCAATGACATATTTCACAGAAATAGAACAGACATTTCAAAAATTTATATGGAACCATAAATGACCCCAAATAGCCGCAACAATTTTGAGAAAG